TGGAAAAAAACTTCTAGATGAAATACCTGATAAATTTAAAGAAAATAGTTATATTCAAAATTCAGCTATAGACATGTTAATGAAGTTTGGTAATGTTACAAATGCCGAAAGTCTATTTCGAACAATGAAGAAAAAGAATATTATCACTTATAATACTATGATGAAAGGTAAATAATTAGAATAAATTTTAAATCTTAAAAAGTTCAGTTTAGGATATACATGGAATAATATGTGTGATAAAGTATTAGATTTATTTGAACAAATACAATTAAATCTTGATGATATTAGTTATACGATTATTTTCAATGCATGTGCTCAACTTTCAAATGATCGTGCAAAACAAATTGGAAAAAAACTTCTGGATGAAATGCCGAAGAACTTAAAAGAGAATAAATATATTCAAAATTCAGCTATAGATATGTTAATGAAATTTGGTGATGTTAAAAAAGCCGAAGATCTTTTTCAGACAATAAAGAAAAAAGATATTATTACTTATGGTGTTATGATGAAAGGTAACTTATTAGAATAAATTTTAAATCTTACAAAGTTCAGTTTAGGATATACATTAAATCATATATGTGATAAAGCATTAGATTTATTTGAACAAATACAATTAAATCTTGATGATATTAGTTATACGATTATTTTCAATGCATGTGCTCAACTTTCAAATGATCGAGCAATTAAAATTGGAAAAAAACGTCTGGATGAAATGCCGAAGAACTTAAAAGAGAATAAATATATTCAAAATTCAGCTATAGATATGTTAATGAAATTTGGTGATATAAAAAATGCTGAAATTTTATTTAAAATGTTTGAAAAAAAGGATATTATTACTTATGGCGCTATGATGAAAGGATATAATATAAATAATGAACCATTAAAAAGTTTGAAACTTTTTGAAGAAATCAAAAAAAATGAGTTAAAAATCGATGAAATTATATCAATGATATTGATTGATACATGTGCAAAAATTGGTATTCGTTCAATATGTGAATCAGTTGTTAATCAATTTCCATCATATTTATATAGTAATCAATATATATGTAATGCATTAATAGGTATGTGGGTATGTATTTATTGTGAAGATTTTCTAAGCAATTAATTTTTTTTTGATTACAGGGAAAAGCTGGACTAGTGAAAAATGCTCAAAAAATATTTGAATCAGTTGATCAACCTGATGTTATTACATATAATGCAATGAGTAAATAGATTTTATTTATTTTTAATTCTTTATTTTTTTCTACTTTATCATTGAAGTTAATGCATATGGAAAAAATCGTATGGGATTAGAAGCTATTGATTTATATCGAAAGATGCCTAATAAATTACGCAATGAATTTTCATATAGTTGTATACTGAATGCATGTTCACATTCAGGTCTTCTTGACGAAGCTTATTCAATTTTCAATGAAATTTCTCATAAAACGCAACAAGTTATTACTACAATGGTATGGTTTTTTTATATTTTTTGTTTAATACAAAGATTTTGCCATGATTTAGGTTGATTGTTTAAGTCGCCTTTTTTTATTTGATGAAGCAAAACAACTCATAGAAGATTATGAAAAATGTAATGCACCAGATTCAGTAATGTATAGTGAGTGTTTCTGTTTTCAATATAAAACTATTTTTTTTAATTAATAATTTTTAATTCTAGTGGCACTTCTATCTGGTGCACGTAATTCTCGACAATCTCATTTGTCACAAGAAATTCATAAACGAATGAAATTACTATTTCCAAATGAAAAAAATCTTTTAATATCTGCTTCAATTCTTCTTTGTAATATATCCTCATCGTTAGGACATCATGAAGAAGCACAAGCTATTCGATTAGATCGAATTAAAGAATTCGGAAATAAAGTTAAAGCAGGTTTATCATGGACTGAAGTTAATGGGGAAGTAGTGGTAAGAGAATTTTATCATAAGAAGTTAAATTCTAAAGAAAATAATTTGTTAATTATTTTTAGCAATTCACAGCTCATGATCAGTCACATCCTCAATCAAAAGAAATCTATGCTGAGGCTCAACGAATATCATCTGAACTAATTAAATATGGACATGTCCATGATGGAAGTTGGATTACTCGTCCATTACGCGAATATGAAACAGTTGAATCTGTTTTGTGTTCGCATAGTGAAAGATTGGCTATTGCCTTCAATTTTATTGAAGGAAGAAAACCATCTTTCATCCAAATCACGAATAATCTTCGTGTTTGTGGTGATTGTCGTAAGTTATTAGTTTTTCTCAATCGTTCTCAGTAACGTCTGTATATCGTTTTCTAGATCAAGCTACAAAATTAATTGCCAAAATTCGGCAAGTGGAGATTGTGGTTCGTGATGCTAATTGCATTCACCACTTTTCGATGAATGGCACATGTTCGTGTCAAGACCATTTTTAGTTTTTTTTTGAAAAAATAAATGTATAAGATGGTCTAGTCATTATCTTTTACATTAATAGATTGGCTATATACAAACTTTTTAAGAAAGTAACTATGTGCATCCAGATGGATATAATTAATTAATTGGGTGTGGGTGT